CCTTTTGTACACAGTGTTAAAATTTTAAAGCTTATTCTTGAGCCAATACAAATTCTTTCCTGGGATCACTCAAAATGAATACTTCTAAACATGTAAATATGCATCAGTACCCGTTATACGTAGGCCTAATAGAACACATAGGCCTAAGCATCTTAAATCCATAAATATCAGGCCAGGTCTTTTAAGATAGAAATGCGATACTGTGGTTCAATTTCGTTTTTATCCTTTTGCAAGTTTCTTTAAATGTTTGTTTGATAATACTACTACTTATAGTAATAATAATAATAATAATAACAATGATGATGATGACGATAGTAATAATTAATATTAATATTAATAACAATAAAAAGTGAAGAAAATTGTGCTAAATGCGAAAAAAGTTGTGATTTGTTGATCATAATATAGTATATATAGTTAAAGCTTAGTAAGCTATAATTAGGCCTAAGTCGTCCTGGATATTAAATAGATCCCTGATAAAAGATCATGAGAAATGTGTTGGCGTTTCATTTTGACTATAATGGTAATGTGATGATGATGAATTTTACTATATAAAAGTGTCATTTCCGGCCATCTCGAGAGGTACTATTTCCTCAAATTTTCTCACCTCAGCCCCAGCCATGGTGGGGCTGAGGTGGTTGTGAAATCACGTTTTTGAAGTAGGCCTATGTAAAGTACATACTCAAAGACAATGTTTTTAAGCTTTGTTTTCTATGGGATACACACATACATTAATAAGATCTCTATGGTTGTCAAAAATCGCTGATAAAAGATCATGAGAATTTTTTTTGGCGCTTCCTTTTGACTAATGGTGATGTGATGATGATGAATTTTACTAAAAGTGTCATTTCTGGCCATCTAGAGGTACTATTTCCTCAAATTTTCTCACCTCAGCTCCAACCATTGTGGGGTTGAGGTGGGTGTCGACTCACAAAATGCCCTCCCCCTCCACCTTTCAAAACAGATCTGTGCCCTTCCCTGGGTATGACATTAAACTCCATCGAGTCGGCTCCTGATGTATGGGT